GGGGCCGGGGCACAGGGTCACATCTCACAGCTGGAAGGGGAGCAAGCACATGAGAAGTTCGCTTGTCTCAGGCAGCCACAGGTTTCTCCAAGTACCCAAATCCCTGGCTCTTCTATATATAAATTCATCTTTTAAATTTTCCTTTTGGTTAATCCTCACCCGAGGATATTTTCCCACTGATTTTAGAGAGAGGGGAAGAGAGAGGGGAAGACAGAGAGAAACATCGATGGGAGAGAAACACATCACTTGGTTGCCTCCTGCACGAGCCCTGACCAGGGCCCAGGCCGGGGAGGAGCCTGCAACTGAGGTACATGCCCTTGACCGGAATCAAACCCGGGACCCTTTGGTCTGCAGGCCAATGCTGCATCCACTGAGCCAAACCGATTAGGGTTTCAATCTTTTTTTCAGTCTTAAAAGAAAACAAAAACAAAAACTGTACCTTCACAAGTGGGCTCCCTGCTGTCCCACTGCCCTGTGGGGCCGCACTGGAGCCTCGCCCGTCCCTTCAGCACGAAGCCCGGCTCGCAGGAGAACGCACAGCTGGCGCCGGGCTGGAAGCTCCCGGAAGCGCTGGGGGCACAGCTCACGTGGCCTCTCTCGGGCCTGGATGGGGCTTTGCACTGGGAAGCTGAAACACCAACGCGGTGATCAGGACACGCTGGCGGGACAGCAGGGACCCGCATGGCTGAGTGGACCCAGTGCACCTCAGACAAGGACGCGCTCGGGGGCTCAAACTCTTGGTTACCCCGGACAGTTGGCCATGGCGCTAACCAAGGGCGGGGGGCCCCTAACAGGACAGGCTCCTCTGGCATGAGAAAGAGGGGGCAGGGCCAGGAGAGGTGTGTGTCCTCAGAGCGCAGCTGGGGGGCTGGAGCCTATAGGGGGTGCCCAGCAAAGGGAAGTCGGAGGCAGCCACGCAGTTGGTCTGCTGTGCAGTTGGGTGCGGCTCGTGGGCGTTTGTCCCTGGACAGGGCTCCCTGCCGTGTGTGGCTACGAGGACAGCAGCACCTGGGAGTGGAACTTGCTTGTTTTCAATGTTCCTTCTCGCCTTGAGGTGGGTTAAATGCTGCTGCTGAGGTCTGTGACCGCGGACGCCCCTCCCCCTGCTGGCCCTGACACTTCCAGGAGGAAGGGAAGATGGGGTTCTAGCATCGGGGAGCTCTCGTGGTCCCACGTGTTAAATGTGAAATCCTAGAGTGAGACCCTGCTTCTCCCACCCCGGCGGCCTGAGGCTCCGTCAGCAGCACATTGGGGAGCCGGCCCAGCGCCCGCTCTGGCTGGCTGTGCTTTCCCTGGCGGCGCTGGCGTCTCCTGGAGCTGAGCCTGCTGCCCCTGAGCCTGACTTCCAGTCTCCTTCCGACCCTCCCACCCCCCACCCCCAGGCTGCGGCTGCTTGGAGGAGGCCGG